GGTGCACATTGCTGGTGGTGGAGGGGATCCCCATTACCTGTAAAGTGCTTTGAGTGGAGTGTCCAGAAAAGCACTATATAAGTGTAAGCAATTATTATTAAAGCATGATTTTGAAGACCTGCGTTATTGCGCGTGTGCAAACTCTATGTAGTGTGTACTGTCTCTAGCAGGCTTTAATATCCGATGGCTAATATTGGAGCTGATCTGGTTGCTCCTCTCCCCTCCCGGCCCAGCATGTGCACACACACGACTTGTGCTGTGCCATCTTGTTCCAGCTGGCCTGCGGAGCCCAGGAAATACCACAGCTCAGCCCTAGCGTGCCGGCGGCCCCTCAGACCGTGTAAACGCACAGCCAGCCTTATCAGCTCGTCCCAGAATGCAAGTGACAGGCCGTCCGTGGGATGCCAGCGCGCACCCTGGACCTGGGCCCTGAATGATTCAGGACTGCCGGATGACTGTCCGTGTTGTTCTTCACAACACAGGGCGCAAGTGTCTGCTCAGAGGAATCGCCTCCATCCCACTTGCTCTTCCCCCTTCCTTTGTCTTGTACAGGAACAGGGGGGCAGATAATGAGGGGCATTGACTAAAGGGACACAATAATGAAATTATTAGTTTTTAGAGTCATCCTCTGCTTGAAACAATCGGGCCTCCTGTGTCTTTTCCTTCCTGCAGCCAGGCCTGTTAGGCTGCTGAGTGCTCTTTTGTGTCGTCCCCGAAAAGTAAACTTCTCCCCTGTTTGGTTATTAATTCAAAAAGTAAAAAAAAAAAGAACAATATGTGTACTGGCTTGTTTTGAGACATTTTGAAACCTTCCTTGCAGCCATGGAAACTGCTTTATCCATTCTTACCCCGGTAACAGAACGCACAGTGTTCCTTGACCTTGTTTTCATTGGCCGCTGGCTGTCCAATCAGGGTAAAGGAAGGAAGTCCCAGTGATAAGGAAATTGCCCCGCTTCCACTCATAATTGCTGTGTTTCTATTCATGGCATACTGATGATAAATTAATAAGTGTTATTTTAACTCGATATGGCATCAGTCATCCCCAGTCTTACAGGCTTAGCCCACAAATGCCTGTTCCTTTTAATTAGCTTGGTTCGCTTTTCAGAGCCGGAATTTTTTTAAGTAAATGTTTTTGTGGTTGATCCGTTTTACAAAGTCCGTATTTTTCTTAATGAAAAATCTAACCGCAAGAATGCCCAGATTTGTTAACCTTTCATATTAAAGCAATTGGAAATAAAACCAGCTTTCACTGTTACTGTTCTGAGTGCTTAATCAACTCTTTTTGTTTGAAAACTGCGATTTACTTGTGTATTTTCCAAATTAGGGCACAGATGCGGTTCTCAAAAATTATACTAAAAACGTGGTAAGATATCTGGGTGATTTTATATGTGGAACACAATCAGCTGAATTAAGTATATATGTTATTTTGAAACATGTGCTGCAGTGGTTAGCATTGCTGCCTTGCAGTGCTTTGGCTCTGGGCTCAATTCCAGACCTGCGTTACTGTCTGCGTGGAGCTTATATGTTCTCTTCATGTTTACGTGGGTTTCCCCCGGGAGCTCCAAAGAAGGCTGGTAGGTTAATTGGCTTCTGGGAAATGTGGCCCTGAACTTGAACTTTATTGCCATACGTAACCAGTACTGGTACAATGGAATTCTTACTTACAGAAAGTCTCTCGATTGTAAAACAAGTGTAAGAAACAAAACAAAGTGCAAACAGTGCATCAAGACAATGTACAAACAATAGACAATGTGCAAGTAATGTGTCTGGTGTGTCTATGTGCGATGCGATGAAGTGACATGCTGTCCAGGACGTACCCTGACACACTCCTGTTGCCTGCAGCCCTGTACTGGATAAAGCGATACAGAAAAATAGATGAATGGAGGGTGTGTTCAGGTGTGTTCAGATGTGTTCAGGTAACGGTGTAGACTGTACCCCCTGCCCGTTAGAGGACTGACACTTAAGAGTTGGACTAAAGGGAAAGATGACAGGTTCTAGTCATTGCCTAGAGATCTTAAGCGATTTATGAAACTCTTCTTTCTGCTTCTTAAACACCCTGGTGAAGGAGTTAATGT